GCGGGGGGGGGGGAGTATACAATAACTATGCAACGTATATCCGGCGGGTGTACAGAGTGCATATAACACAAAAAATTAATACGAATTAATACGACCCCCCTTTTTCCACAAGAAAAAATCAACTATCAAAATAAATTTGTCTTACCCCAAATACGACCCCCTCCCCAGCGGAAAAGTACGACCCCCCCTATGTGTTTCACACAACGATGCTGTGGCCCGGTCCCTACCACTCTGCCCTCAGGTACAATCGAAGGTGCGCCGATGCAGGGTTTATGCCAATCCAAGCAGTGGTCGCAAAGAATAATACTGGTCGCGGGGTCGCATCGTTTCGAAATCTGCGTGTGTGCAGGATGTCGCCAACTTGCTGACGCGTCTACTGAAGTGGATTTGAACGTGAGATTGTCTTTTGCCTAGGAGAGGAGAGCAATCTTAACTGTTGTCGGGATATAATATATCGTAATTTTTTCTAACCATGATGGAGACGCCTTTGAACAAAGATAGAGAGTATGTGCTTGGTGAGGCAGGATCCCCTATCTGCCCTTCTCCAAGATTTTCTCCAGCACAGGAGGCACTTTTTATGGTGAACGCACCTTCACATCCTTATCTGATAGAGAGCATTTTTGACGACCGACGTGTTGGTAACAACTGGGCGGATTGGCTGCCAGCTTTCTCGGATTATGCATGATAGCTATTGTCTTGCGCTCCCTTGTACGTACATATGAGTTTTTGTGCTTTGAATGACAATACGTTCTTGTGCGTGTGATTTTAAGTGAAGCGAAGAACAATTTCTAGAAAAAGAGGATTTCTTCTTTTTCAAGGCTGCCTAACTTTTTTCCTTGTTGTGCCGCATTTCCAGGAATATTTGCACTGGGAATTTTTTGCTGGGAATGTCGTGCTGTTCGCAAAAAACCCATTTCTCCTGTATCACGTGCGAGAGAAGTCATTCGAAGACTTGTGTATGCCTCCAAAACGAATTCCTCCTGGGACAGGGATAGTAAGTGGTTAGTGTAGCGTCAAATGTCATCACCTCGGGATGCGCCACGGTTTTTTTTCTCTTCCCAAAGAATGCGCCACGGTTTTTTTCTCTTCCCAAAGAACCGCAGCGAAAATGGAAATCAAAGCATAACGTGAGAATTTCTTGGAATGGGTGAAAATAGGATCCCAAGGTACTGCTCGGCGTTCCTTGATCACTCCCACAGCAGACATCACTACGCGATTCCTTCAAGGAATATGACTGCAGCTACCAAAGGAACATGCCATTCACTTCGAGTTTTTGTATGCAATATTAATTGAGATTCTGGTAGAATCATAACGAGCTTCAGAACTGAGCATCCTCGTTACCTATGCCTTCTCTGTTGCTCATGCCAGAAACTGCAGCTGCCAAGTAAATTAAGTGAAAATCTGCGCCAGATATTCCTTATGAAATAGTTGCAGAAAAATTTGATTCCAAAGAGTAACTGTATGACTAACCTGGCAAAGCATAGGCACAGCAAACTGGAGGTGAGGAGTCGCCAACTCGGAAACCAACGATACACGACGGGGCGAGGCGCTGGTGGCAGGCCGTCGCTTACTGGATGCACAGCAGACATGCTGCGCAGCAGCTGATCTGGAAAATCTTGAGCTAATTAGCAAGCAAGATTGTTTAGAATTTGCCCCTGGCTTCCAAGAGTTAAAACTCTTCGATTTGAAAGCATTATAGGCGTTTACCGGACACTCTATCTGATCTACCGGATCCATCATAGGCGTCTGCCCGCTGGGATGTTGTTAACTGTTAACTTAACAGTTTATCGATCTCTTGGAAACCCAGATATTATTCGCAAATAGAAGTTCGGCACTCCGGTGATGAGATGACCCAGACAAAGTTCATCACCAGAAGTGAGATTCTCTATTTTCTTGGTCAAACTTTTTCTTTCTATCCGAACTGTGAACCATGATGAATTCTGGGCTTCTGCTGGTGATCAAAGGGCTTTCCGACAGTCGGTAAAAAACTAGGAGTTTTCGATGAATCCGAAAAATGGGAGAGTACATTGGCTCTTGTGTAGGGACTGTGGTACATCTGCCAACTATCACCTATTATCACCAATTACACCAATTAGGAGAGCATGAGCTGAGCTTGACTTCCTCGGAACATCTCAGGTTTTACGTTGGAAAATGGAGCATTTCACCCAAATCCTAATCCTTCATGTGAACTCCACAGCACAAGTTAAATACACCACCGTTGCGTTTGGAACCTGTTAACGCCAGCCTCAGCTTCTGGTGGTATTTCAAGACCTATAATCTCCTACAAGGGGATTTCTCACGGCCAATTCACGTATTTTCGTTTGATGTTTTTAGCAAAAAAACACGGAATCTGAAGAGGGTAGGTTTTAGCAGCGAGCTATGTACGTTACTGTGCCGTTTGCATGTTCCAGTACAACGTGTACCTCTAATTTACGGACGGCATAGCGTATACGGAACAGGCGAACGTTGGTGATAAATGCGTTTCTCCCAACTCCTAATACTCGATATGAACTCCGCAGTACAAGTTGCTCCACTGTTGCGTTTTAAATAGGGTTAACGACCGCCTTAGCTCGTGGAGGTATTTCAAGCCCTATTATGGTTTATTATGGTTCATTTGGTCCTCAGCAGAAAAACCACGAAAAGTGAAATGGGTAGCTTTTAGCGGCGAAGCGGCGAAGTACTGGGTCGGCCTATAAGTAATGGCGTTTTTTCTCACTCGAAATATTTCGCTAAAGATTAAAAGTTTTGCCATTGAGTTCTATACTGTTTTGCAGAGAATTCCTTGCCCTATACGATAGTCCTTTTGGTTTTCTCAGAGTTTGCCTATCCACAGAAGTTTAAGTGCTCAAACTGGAGTGTCAGGTCGACGAAATTGAGCATTTTCGACAGCCTCTCTTTTTCACCTCTAATTAAAAAGCTAAAACCGCACAGGCCCAGTTGCTAAGTATATGGCCAAGAGCTATGTCTCTTAGGAATGCTACAATGGTTTAAGTTATTCGAAGATTTCCATTTCGACCTCACAGACAAGCATCGAACCTAATGCCCTATTGTGTCCAACTGAGAGCTAACTTTATTCACGGAGATTCATGCCAAATATTGAGGAATCGTTAGAGGTCATGAAACGCTCCCCTATCACATGTACACCACAAGTTTTGAGCTTCTTCTGTAATTTGAGAGCCGAGATAAAATGCAAAAATTTGTTGTCGAAAACTCACTTTTTTGTCGACTCGAAACTTCCAATGAAATAAAAATCGATAGAAATCAAGAGTCACCAGGGAAAGCAACCATACCCCTT